ATAAGTAGAAGCTATATTTATAGAACATTAAGGTTTTTGTGATTGTCAAAAAGAAGTTTACAATTGATGGATCTTCCATATATATGAATAAATTTGTAGTTTGACTAAAAAATATTTATATATATATTGCTGCATGTATATGGATCTTCCATATATAATAAATAATATTTTTACTCAGTAAAGAGATTTTTTTCTTAATTATTTTTTTTTTCTTTCAAAAACAACGTTGACCCAGATCATATATCATATCGAAATAGGTTAAAGAATCGGGTTCAGATAATAGCTAAGATATTTTGTTTAAAATTAGATGGTTTCTTAGTTATGATTTATTTTCTTTTTTGACAACTCTTGATGTGCAAATTCTGGCTTATGTACTCAGCCATGGCTCAAGAAATTAGAATGCCCTTGGGCAAAAAAAAGTTGTTGGCCTTTTCTCTAATTGATGCTAAAGAAATTTTAATTTGTGTGCCCATAAAACATGTTTTTGAAGATATTTTTATACATAAATTGGCATTTTCACATTTGAAAAGAAAAAAAAAATGAAAAATGGACCTAATGTTATTTTTTGTCACCTATTCTACTACTTTACAATAAAAATGGGCCCTATAATCTTAGAATAGTTTTTAAAAACTAAACTGGCTTTACGCCATTGCCCCTCTGTCCACCTTAGTTGAGCCAGACCTGTATGTACTACTTCATGTAGCCTTTCTCGTGCCAGCGAGACAAACAGCCATGACCAGCTTATCAACTTCATTTAGTCCTGTGACTATGACCAACTTGTCTACAATCTCCCATCGTGGAAATCCGTTAGAAAAACTTTGATCTCACATGTGTTAAATCGCTTATTAGCCTTTGCCTCAAAACTCTCTATGATTATTTTTTAACTCCTATTATCTATCTTTATATGCCCTGCTTGATTTTGTTCTTAAACTTAGGATTTATATATATTTCTCTTTGTACTAATATTTATGAGTAAATGAATCAAGTTTTTGCCGGAAACAAAATTAGAAGTATATTAGAAGCTAATCTTGAAATTGCAAATAACGACACGGTACTTTGCTATGCTATCACAAGGAGAAGCTTATCATAAGACCTTGTTGCCTAATCATTTTCAAAATAATACCAACGAAAAAAATAACATAACTAATATCTTTTTTCGATTTTATAATAGTTACAATCATTTGTAAACGTAACATATAGTTCACCTTAAGGATATTTTGTTTTACTTGTTCATTATCTTTAATTGTTACCAAACCTAAATCCAGAGTAATTTTAACAAGTCTACAGAAATCATAATTACCTAATCATTTTCTCCGCTTTAAATAACTGGAATCGCAATAAAAGAGATGTATGGTGATAGTAGTTCAGACTTTTGATTAAGAAAACTACAATCGTCAAATAATTTTATATTTTCTCATTTAATTTTTTATTTGTGGAAAAACAACAAAAGAAAATAAAACATATTAATGTCAAGACAAGATCGGTTTCTATCACTTGGTGCAACAACATTTGTTTCCGAAAGAAGTAGCACAACTCCCAGATGAGAAGCCAGCCTTCCTACAATCAGCCACACATTTATCATAGTCGTACGTTGGCGAACAAGTATTCTTGCACATATCATCAATTCTCCCAGAAGGTTTGATCTCTGCATGTCCACAAAGTCACCACATATGAATATCATATATAATCATATATAATCATATCAACGTTCTTGCTTTCAAACGATGAAACCTAATCAGAAAACATAACCTGAAGCCAAAATGTTGTAACTGGAAAAAGAAGCTGCAATTATAATAAAGAGTAAGAAAGTCATCGAAGTCTTGGTGTTGCCCATTTTCTTGCTCGAAGTATCAAACTATAAAGTCTATTTAAAAAATATGTTATATTTATAGAACATAAAGTTTTTTGTGATTGTCAAAAAGAGGTTTACAATTGGTGGATCTGCCATATATATTAATAAATTTGTATTTTGACTAACAAATATTTTTATATACATTGGTGCATGTATATGGATCTTCACATATACTCAATAATATTTTTACTCGGACTAAAGAGATTTTCTTCTTAATTATTTTATTTTTTCAAAAGCAAGGTTGACCCTGATCATATACCATATCAAATTAGGCTAAAGAATCGGGTTCAAAGAATAGCTAAGACATTTGGTTTGAAATAAAATGGTTTATTATTTTTAATTTTTTTTTACTACTATTGAAGTGCTTAACATCTGGAAATAAATTGGAATTATGGCTTATGTACTCAGCTCTGGCTCAAGAAATTAGAATTCCCTTGGGCAAAATATGTTTTTGGCCTTTTATCTAATTTATGCTAAAGAAATTCAATTTTTTGGGCCTATAAAACATGAGTTTTAAGATATCTGTATATATAAATTGGCATTTTCACATTTGAGAACAAAAAATGAAAAATAGACCTAAATTTATTTCCGGTCACCTATTCGACTACTTTACAATAAAAATGGGCCCCATAGTCTTAGGATTGTTTTTTCGAAATAAACGGCCTTTGCGATGCTGCCCCTCTCTCCACCCTATTTGAGCCAGACCTGTATATACTTCTTGTTGTAGTGTTTCTCGTGCCAACAAGACTAATAGCCATAACCACCTTCTCAACTCCATTTATTCTTGTGACTATGACCAACTTGTCTACCATCTCCCATCGTGGAAATCCGTTAGACAAACTTTGATCTCACATGTATTAACTAGCTTATTAGCCTTTGCTTCAAAGCTCTCTTGGGTTATTTTTTTAACTCATATTATCTATCTTTAGATGCCTTGCTTGTTTTTTTTCTAAAACTTTGGATTTATGTATCCTTCTCTTTGTACTAATATTTATGATTTATAAATCAAGTTTTTGGCCCAAAAAAAAGTGAAATATATTAGAATCTAATCTTGAAATTGCAAAGAACGACTTGGTACTTTGCTATACTATTGCAAGGAGAAAATTTATCATAATACCTTGTTGCCTTATCATTTTCAATATAATACCAACAAAAAAAACAAAACTGATCAATTGTTTTAATTTTATAATAGTTACAATCATTTGTAAACGTAACATATAGTTCACCTTAAGGAATTTCTTTTTTCTTTTTCTTTCTCTTTAAGTTTTACCAAACCTAAATCCAAACTAATTTTAACAAGTCTACATAAATCATAATTACCTCGTCATTTTCTCCGCTTTAATAACTGAAATAGCAATAAATGAACTGTATGGTTGATAGTAGTTCAGACTTTTTTAATAAGAAAACTATAATCGTTAAAC